CCCGCGGGCTCAGGCAATTCACTCACCTCAGCCTCCCAAAGGTGCGGGATTACAGGCTGAGCCACCGAGCCCGGCTAGGGCCCTCCAATATTAAACACCTCACTCTTCCCTCAGGATTATGCCAATCATCTGCAAACTTATTTTGTCATAGCTATCAATTCTTCCCCTGGGGTTCAATGACAAATTCAAAACATATCTACTGAGCCTCAGTTGTGTGCAATGAACAGAGTAAATTATTCCAAACTAGGCTGTAAGGACCTCATAATCAAGTGGGAGAGATAATCATGAAAACTGCTAATAAAATAATACAACACAAGAACTACTAGAATTGATTTATAAGATACTTTTTCAAAACTATGTTCACCTACAGTTCCCAATTAGGTAATTAGTTAAAGTCAGTATTCTGACTTCATTTCATCCACACATAATATTTTGAAAATACAATATTCTAGGCAAAAGAAATGTGGCAAAGTGGAGAGTTCATAACCTTTACGCAGACCACTGTCTCAGTTCACAACACCAGGCTTCAAGGGCCCTTGGTATGGACTGAAAGACAATAGTAAATTATGTAAAAAACAGAAGCCTGGAATAGAGTAGGAAACAACTGACATCAGCTTTCCTCTACTGTTCCACATTATGACAACATTAGCTCTTTAACCAATAAAAATTAAAAACCATAGGTTTTGTCTTCCTAGAAGAAAATTCACATCCGACAACCTACCATCTCCCAAAAATCTGGTAACAAGTTTTCATCTTAATCCCTTCTGCACTGATTCAAAATTGTTCTTAATGTAGTGTCACTACCACAACATGCTGAAGTTAAAACTGCTAACATGAGTTTGCTAATAATACAAAAACTATTAACACCGAGTGTCAAATATTAACATAAGACAAACATGTCAACTGGGCACTGTGGCTCACATTTGAAATCCCAGTACTTTGGGACAATTGCTTGAGTCCAGGCTAAGCAACAGAGATATAAACTCTTTAAAATGTTAAAACAATTTAAAAAAGCCAGGCACTCAGGCACACACCTGTAGTCCCAGCTATTTGGGAGGCTAATGCACCAGCTGAGTCTAGGAGGTAGAGGCTGTGGTGAGTCATGATTGTGCACTCCAGCCAGGGCAACAGCAGAGTAAGTCACCGACTCAAAACAAAACAAAACAAAAGTGTCATTGACTTCCAAATGCTATCCAAATTATTATACTGAGCCCAGCAGGTGGAGGCTATGGTAGCCTGAGTGTGCACTTCAGCCTGGGTGACAGAGTGAGACTCCAACTAAAAAAAAAAGTCATTATAAAACAAGATGCCAGACACTAATTTTTAAATGATCAAGATTTTCTAAAACAATTCTCCACCACCCCCAACGTACATGCAAAAAGTATTATATATACCATTTTCTGGGGAAAGTTTGTCATAAGCATCTTCATAAATATAATTTCTTCTTATTGTGACATTAATTCCATCCAGAAATGGACCATCTCCTTGAACTTCTTGCTTATCTGCATAAATCAACCTCTGAAAGATCTAATAAACAGGGGAAATTGTAAGGTTATTAGAAACAATCGGGTTTTTGTTATAAGCAACAAAAAGGAAAAACTGCTACATAAACCTTAACTTTTAATTGCTGTAAGTTCTGAAATAAATTTTAATAGGCAAGATATTAAATCTTCACTGTATCAATAAATTTAGATATGTATGCTTCATGTTTAGTATTTCTAGTATTGTTCCTTTCTCCCATTTTACAATAAATTTCAAAAATCCCATGCTATAATGTATTTTCATTAATAAATCCTCTATAAAAACTTAAGTGGTGAAGGAGGGAGGAAGAACAGTTTTGTAAAAGGTGTATACTCATAACAGTGAAAATATCTTTATGACAAAACTCAAACTTTTTGATGTTAAAAATCCTGTAGAGGGAGCTCAGGAATTATGTAATTGTATGTATGTGTGTGGCTTTTTTTTTTTTTTGAGTTGGAGTTTCACTCGGTCGCCCAGACTGGA